GGGGTGGGCGCGCGCAGCGCGCCGTGCCAAAAACACTTGCGACTTACGTGTTTAATCAACTTTCTCAGCCTGTATCTCCGAAACTATTTGAGTCCGGCCCTTATATATATATATATATATATATATATATGAAATGACTCGGGAAGACATCCCCAACAACATATTTAAAAATGAAGCAAATCGGAGAGGAGGCCCCTTTTATGCATAATTACCACCAGATTTAATCAGAACCAATTTAAAATACATGGTGCAAGTAAATTCGAAATATCTTTAAAATTGACAAAGTTGGTTATAATATTTTATTACAAGTATGTTGTAACTTTTAAAGTATTCAACTATACATATAATAAAGGAAAAACACTAGAAACTATTCTAATTGTAAAACACATGGCGTAAACACACGCGTGTTATATTGCATTTATATTGATGTTATATATTGTTATACTTTGTAATTAATTAATTAATGAGACATGACGTGTCCGATGTATGAAATAAATTCTTTCATCATTTCGGGACACACTTCAGTCCACTTGTTTGTGATCGATCGCTTGTGACAAGAGCAATTGACGAAGTTCGGCAACGGGACCCGAATAAAACGACCAACGGTAATTTAGGCCAACGACCGCCTAGAAGAGATGAGGACGGGTCAAGCTGAAGGCGGGAGATGTGGGATCAGTTACCTGAGCTGATATTAACACAGATATTCGGCCATCTCGATCGCGCCGATCGCGCCAGCGTCAGCCAGGTCTGCCGGTCATGGAATCGCTCGCTGTCCTCACCCGTGCTCTGGCGATCCGTCACAGTCCTCATCGATCGCGATCTGCGTGGCGACTTTCCACTAGCAGGAGAGCTAGCCGTAAGACAATTTTCCGTCATCCACGAGAGTTTCTTCCCGGCGAATTTAACTTAATTGAGTCACGGTAGAATTTAAGATAGAGCAAAATCGAAAGTGTAAGCTTGAAGAACAAAATACAGCTCGAGAAGAAACCAATCCACTTTGGAAAATAGAGGCAAAGGATGGGAATAAATATTTCGGTAGTGAAAAGACACTCGCTCTGTAATACAATATTTTTATAAAATTAAACTTTCTCGAAGAATCTGTCGAGGAGTCCTCATCGATCTCCGGTCTAATCGTCGCTTCGAAAACTACCCTTATGAAAAAATACACTCAATCATACATTGACGGTCCGAAATAACCATCAAATTGAGTGTAAACCTTCATAATCGAGTGTTTCATGAAGGTTTACACTCAATTTGATGGTTATTTTGGACCGTCAACGTATGATTGAGTGTATTTTTTCATAAGGGTATCCTAACTAGAAATTTTATCATGTCGTACTGCTCGACAGTTATCTGCATAAATGCCGACGTAATATCAATTTATTTATTTACGTTTATTTATTGACAGGCGAAATATGGACAGCATATGCGCAGCCTGGAGCTCGCGTTTTCGCGGCCGTATATTTCGCCAAGGCAGATCAGGATCAGGTACAACACTCAAGCCGAGGCGGGCGCCGATTTTCTTGCATTAGGCATTAATCACGTAATGGTTCACAGAGTACTAAAAAGTGAATTGTTGTACCCGTTCCATCGTACAAAAGTACAGGAATTAAATGCCAGAGATCACCATGCCAGAGTGAATTTCTGTCGCTGGCTTCTACAAAATAATGAAGCCGATGAAAACTTTCTGGCTAATATTATGTGGACCGACGAATCATTATTTACGCGCACTGGTCTATTTAATTGTCACAACGAACATTATTATGATGTTATAAATCCACGCGTGACCCGCACGCGTAGCTTCCAACATAGATGGAAGCTAAACTTCTGGGCAGGTATTTTGGGAGACAGAGTTATCGGTCCTACTCTTTCGTGCAATATATTGGTTGAGTTTGTTTGCATATATGTCTATTGTTTCGCAATTATTTTCAGTTTATTGAGTTCACGTATTTAGTTAGATGTTATGCGTCTTGTATCTTATGTATAACGTCTTTTTTAAGTTTAAGTTACATTTGTGAGCGCTAGATAGATGGCGCAGAGAGAAGAAAGTAGTAGAAGTCTTTCGTCAGCGCACGAACGAACGTCGTTGTAAGCCACGTATTCAGTATCCAAATAAATATTAAATCTAAACCTTAAACAGTGTGAAAGGTCAATTAATACGTGCCGAGCACCAGTCCTCGCATGAGGACACTACATACTTTGGTCCTTCGAGCCGGATACATCTGAAAAGGCGGCGCAAGTTCGTGCCCCTAACCTCGAAGCAACGATCCGCGTACGAAATCACAAAGACTCGTTCGCGCATGTGTGGCGCTACCAGGAGAGTTGCCATCTTATCGTGCACCTCGCCGCACGCGATTGAGGTTAGACGAAAGACACGATCGTTCCGAGAGTGAATTTGCATATTAGCCTCTCGTGAACATTAGACATACCCGAGTGGTAGGCATTGTCGAGCAAGTGACGGTCTCAACGTCACACAACAACAATGACCGACGCAGCAGGGAATCTAAGGGCATTCAAGGCCACACGCAAGCAAGTAAAGGGAAGTCTCACGCGAGTCAGTACATACTTAGCCGGGTTAAGCGTTCCAGACGTATCAATAATTGAGTTGCGTCAGCGTTTACGAAAGGCAAGTGAGCTGTGGGGATCTTTCAATGAAGCACAAGCAGCGATCGAACAACTCGAGCCCGAGGAAGCTAACGAGCCGATTCACCTCGCGGAAAGAAACACATTCGAGAGCAGATATTTCGCAGTCACCGTTGAGCTGGAAACTTTGATCGAGGAGAAGAGCGCAGCCGAAAGGGCAGCTCAAGCATCCCGCCAAATTAATATAACGACAGATACATCAAGTCATAGAGAGGGCACGCCCACTTCGCAGGCAAGTACTATTCCAAACGAACACTTAAAATTACCGCGTGTTACGTTGCCTACTTGTTAAGACTTTTCATTAAATAGAATTCAATTCCCTTCGATCTTCGTCTCACATCTCTGTCTCCTTCTCTCCATCTATAAATAGCGTTCACCGAATTCACCTCACCTTCATTTAAACCCGCGTCATGTTTACACGTTTTTCTTTCGGCGTTTGCTCCACCGCGCGCACCTCTTCCCTCGGCGCGTCAGCTGACTCTACACATACAGCGTTAGTTGAAATCAGTCCGTTGCTCTCGATCGACTTCTGTCCGAGACAACGCTCCGTCATCTACTCTAAGTGTAATCGACGTTATAAGTATAATTATAATCTGAAAATAAACTCAGTGAATCTTCATCTAATCGGAGTAGTAGAAATTGAACTCATTGTGCGTGCACCGATCCTACGTAACTCTAAACATTTAAGGTCCTTCGAGCCGGATCTTCTTCGGACGATCCTCGTCACCTTTTCGGATCGCTCATCGCCCTAACTCGCGCTCTTGCTTTCTCGTCGCGCGTGATCGGTCTCTCGTGCTCTTATAAGACTTTTCTCTTTCCTTCTCAATCAAGCAGTGAACAATACGATTGGTGAAAACCTTCACGCGGCATTTCGCAACTAGTACCAATTATTCTCTAACCGCTAATTCGAATTAAGTGATATCAGTGTTCTTGTCACCTTGTGAGTCACCAGTTCACGATGTCAACAACTTTCGGAGCAGTCATCGAGAAACAAAACAATTTGTTCGGCCTTATCTCTCGAGCACTTGCCAATGCAAAAAAGAAAGGAGAGGAAAAGCTTAATTCTCATAATCTCGACGCTCGCATCAAGTCTCTCGATAGTTATTGGGAACGATTCCAGGACAATCACGATACTCTGGTTGGCGCTCGAACGGAGGAAACACGTAAGCTTCCCTATTTCGCAGATGACCTTTACGCGACCTGCGAAGAGGCTTATTTCAGTTCGCGAGCCGGTATCTTCATGCTCCGTGAATTTCTTTCCACTCAGTTATCCCAATCAGGTAGCGCTAAAGCTCAATCAAGCATGGGTCGAGCCTTACCGAAGATCAGCTTGCCTAAATTTTCTGGCGAATACCAGGAGTGGCCGCCCTTTCGCGATCTCTTTAAATCGATGGTGATCTTCAACACCGAGATAGCTGCGGTAGAGAAGCTACATTATTTAAAGTCGCAAGTAACCGGAGAAGCCGCTCGACACATCGCTAACATTCCGGTGACCTCAGAGAGTTTTGAACGCGCGTGGAGTGCTCTCACCGACCGATATGAAAACAAACGCGTCATTGCAACGACTAATCTCGACCGTTTGTTTAACCTCAAGCCAATTACACAAAAATCAAGCACGGAGTTAAAATTATTGCTCTCCACCACCAGAGAGGTATTGGGCGCTTTAGAGTCTCTCGGACTACCAACGAAGTCGTGGGATGTACTCATCGTTTACTTCGTCACTCGGCGCCTCGACGCGAAGACCCTTGAAGCCTGGGAGCTTGATCTGGGAACATCGCAGAAACTCGCAACCTTAGCCCAACTGGAAACCTTTTTGGAAGGAAGGATTCGAGCCCTCGAGTCCGTTCAATCCCGCTCTCTTGGCACGACAACCTCATCGCCGAAGTCGAGCAGCAAATCCAAACCGTCAGCTCGCTCTCACGCCACTGCCGTCAATCAATCTGGCTGTTCCTACTGTGGTGCCTCTCATTATATTGCATCGTGCTCGGAATTTTCAGCCAAACCATTATTGGAGCGGCAGAATCTCGTGTCTCAAAAGTCACTCTGCTTTAATTGTTTAGGCTCACACAAATTAAGCGAGTGTCGATCTTTAAAACGATGTCGAAAATGCAAGGGTCAGCATCACACCTTGCTTCATCGGGACGCAGCAGTGCCCTCCACGACAACATCCGTCGCAGGTACTTCTACGGACACAGCTTCCACGAGTTCACCGAAGACCACGTCATCAGCCCCCTTATCAACGTTAACGGCCTTGTACTCACATTCTGCTGCCGCTCTTCAAAACCACTCTCGAGTGTTGTTGGCTACCGCCTCTGTCACTCTCATCAACGAGAAGGGAGATAGCGTAAAGGCAAGAGCTCTCTTGGATCAAGGATCTGAGATATCACTTATCCGGGAGTCACTCGTACAGCTATTACAGCTTCCGCGCGCACGTTCATCTGTTTCAATTATGGGTGTAGGCGCTCACAATATCGGTACCTCAAGGGGCGTCGTGACTGTGAAACTTCGATCACGCTACGACCCGTCAATGGAAATTGCAGTTTCGACGTTCATAATTCCAAAGCTCACGGGCCGCATACCCTCAAGTCCTGTTACGACTTCATGGAAGCATCTTAACGACCTGCAGTTGGCTGATCCGGACTTCGCTACACCAGGTTCAATAGACATCATCCTCGGAGCCGATATCTACGGTTCCTTGCTACTCGGCGACATTAAACGCGACCCGTTTAATTCACTCGTCGCTCAAAATACCACATTGGGCTGGATCGTGTCAGGGCCGCTTAACTCTTCGTCATCATCGTCTCGCACAGTTTCAATCCTCTCCTGCGGCACTCCTTCCGACCTCGATCTTCACGATACGTTACAAAAATTCTGGGAACAAGAGGATGTCACATCGATCACATCCTCCTTCATCACTCCGGAAGAGCAAGCGTGTGAAGATCATTTTCGTACCACGCATTCTCGGGATGACACCGGTCGATATATTGTTCGGTTGCCCTTCCGATCAACCTCCACTCAACTCGGCTCTTCTCTAACAGCAGCTCAACGATCCTTCGCGAGAGTCCGTCAACGCATTCTCCGTGACGAGGCTTTCGGGAAGCTCTACTCCGAGTTCATGGAAGAGTATGCAAATTTAGGCCATATGACACCGATCTCGTCTTCATCTCACCACGGCAGCACATCGGTTTTCCTGCCTCATCACGGGGTTTTGCGTGAAGCCAGCTCGACTACTAAGTTGCGCGTCGTCTTCAATGGATCAGCACGCACCACCTCCGGAATCTCACTCAATGACTGCCTACACGCCGGTCCGAAGCTTCAACTCGATCTCGACGCAGTCATCTTGCGCTGAAGAATGCACGCTTTCGCATTTGCCGCCGACATCGAGAAGATGTATCGGCAGATCGTGATACATCCTGATGATCGACAGTATCAGCAGATTCTCTGGAGCTCCACGGATTCACCTCGCAGTTATCAACTCTGCACCGTAACGTATGGATTGACTTGTGCACCTTACCTGGCCCTGCGAGTTCTTCAGCAACTCGCTACGGATGAAGAACACCTCCACCCGCAAGTTGCCAACATCGTGCGAACAGCGATTTACGTGGACGATATTCTCTCAGGTGCCGATAATCTGCAAGAGGCACAAGTCAAGGTCCTTCAGTTAGTCGAGCTCCTCAAGGCGGGCGGCTTCAAGCTGCAGAAGTGGTCAGCCAACTACGATACATTCTTCAAAATCTCTCGGCTTCCACAACGAGCTCGTCAACTCTCGAGCTTCATTCCGAAGCTCGAACGCTTGGACTTACGTGGCACCCAGCGTCCGATTCCTTTCAGTTCCACGTCAACAACTCCGCACCAATCAGCAAGCTCACCAAACGATCAATCCTCTCTCGAATAGCTCAGCTATTTGATCCTCTCGGTTGGCTCGCTCCTCTTACTATCATCGGCAAGATATTTATTCAACAGCTTTGGAGGTCAAACCTGGAATGGGATGATCCGTTGCCACCACCTCTCGAGCTCCACTGGATTCAGTTTGAGGAGGAGCTAAGAAGTGTTTCTGAGTATTCGATTCCTCGCTGGCTCGGCACCTCATCCAATCCTCAAGGTCTCGAATTTCATGGATTTGCGGACGCCTCTCAGGACGCTCTTGGCGCGGTGCTCTACCTGCGCACTCCGGTCAACTCCGCGGACGCTGAGGTCAATCTTCTAGTCGCAAAAAGCAAAGTCGCGCCTCTGAAGAAGCAGACCATTCCTCGCCTCGAACTAGCCGCAGCGGTACTTCTCTCGCGTCTCATGGCGCGCATTCGGATTATCCTTCAACTTCAAGGCATTCCGGTTCATCTATGGGTCGACTCCAGTGTCAGTTTAGCTTGGATTCGTGGTCATCCTTCACAGTGGCAAGAGTTCGTAGCTAATCGAGTCGCAGTGATTTAGGAGCTCGTTCCAGACGCTTGTTGGCATCACGTCGCCGGTACCGAAAATCCAGCCGACTGCGTCTCTCGTGGACTCTCCAAGGCAGCTTCAAGCTCATTCCTTATGGTGGCATGACCCAGCTTGGCTTCAAGGCCCGTCAGCCGGGTGGCCATCTACCTTTCCGCCGATTTCCGCCGATGTGAATCTCGAAGAAAGACGACACAAAGGGGTTCTAGCTGTTACGGTGAGTCCGCCTCTGTCATACTGGACACTCATTGACAGCTTTTCCAGCCTCGATCATCTTCTTCGTATCACCGCTTGGGTCCAGCGCAGTGCCGCCATTTTCAAGAAGGTCAATCATCATTCAACCAACACTCTGCATCCCGAAGAACTTCTTCACGCTCGAACCTTCTGGCTCAAGGAGACGCAACGCGCTTATTTTAGTCAGGAATTAAAATCTTTCTCAAAGACAGCGCCATTGTCAAGGTCACATCCACTCCTGAAATTATCTCCCTTCGTCGACACTTAGGGAATTCTTCGCGTCGGAGGACGATTGAAGAACTCGCTGCTCGATCCTGACGTGAAACATCCTGCTATCCTTCCTCGTGATTCTCCATTCTCTCGTCTTGTCATTGCAGATATCCATCATCGAACGCTGCATGGCGGAACTCAGATTGTTTTAGCTACCTTGCGAAGGTACTACTGGATACTCGGAGGACGCGCCCCAGTCAGCTCATACATTCGCCGCTGCGTTCGCTGTGCACGACATCGCGCAGCAACAGCTCAGGAGATGATGGGCTCACTTCCTTCATCGCGCGTCACACCTACGCGCCCCTTCTTGCATTCAGGCGTTGACTACACGGGACCTTACACGCTTCGAACTTGGCGAGGTTGAGCATCCCGGACATACAAGGCTTATTTAATCGTGTTCGTCTGCTTTGCCACCTCCGCAGTGCACCTCGACCTTGCGACCGATTATTCGACTCAAGGTTTCCTAGCAGCATATCGACGATTCATCGCCCGACGAGGACGATGCGCCACTATCACAAGTGATTGCGGAACCAATTTCGTTGGAGCAGACGCGGAACTCCGCCGCTTATTCAGCTCTGCTTCGAAGGATGCCGCGGAACTCGCTCATTTGTTAGCCGCTGACGGAACGGAGTGGAAATTCAATCCTCCCTCCGCTCCACATTTTGGAGGCAAATGGGAAGCCGCTGTCAAATCCGCAAAATTCCATCTCAGACGACTGCTAGGTACCACAGTTCTTACCTATGAAGAGTTCATCACTCTCCTCACTCAAGTCGAAGCCGTGCTGAACTCTCGACCAATCAGCACGCTGTCCGACGACCCTGACGACGTCAGCGCGCTCACTCCGGCTCACTTCCTTATCGGCGAGCCACTTATTCTGCTGCCTGAACCGCCACTCGATGATGTGCCAACCTCTCGCCTATCTCGCTGGCAACTCATCCGACAATTGACGGACAGATTCTGGACTCGGTGGTCAACGGAGTACCTGCAACGCTTACAAACCAGGAACAAGTGGCATCTCTCTACCAGGCCATTGCAAATCGGCGATCTCGTCCTAGTTCTTGACGAGCGATTCCCTCCTGCCAAATGGCCTCTCGCACGCGTAATCGCCACCCATCCGGGGTCTGACGGCCTTGTACGCGTAGTCACCGTTCGAACCGCCGCTTCAGAATTTAAAAGGCCGATCGTGAAGCTCTGTCCACTTCCTATCGAACGTTAACGCAATATCGCGCTCTTCAGCTTCAATGTGTTACTATCAATACTCTGTCCCAATTTCATCAGCAATCTCATCGTTTCTGTCCTGTCTCATGGTCACTCTTACCCTCCTGCTCATCATTCAGTTTACTCATTGCGCTCCATTTCCTTATAGATGTTAATGTTATCAGCGACGTCTACCACGCCCCTGAAGCGGGCGGTAATGTTAAGACTTTTCATTAAATAGAATTCAATTCCCTTCGATCTTCGTCTCACATCTCTGTCTCCTTCTCTCCATCTATAAATAGCGTTCACCGAATTCACCTCACCTTCATTTAAACCCGCGTCATGTTTACACGTTTTTCTTTCGGCGTTTGCTCCACCGCGCGCACCTCTTCCCTCGGCGCGTCAGCTGACTCTACACATACAGCGTTAGTTGAAATCAGTCCGTTGCTCTCGATCGACTTCTGTCCGAGACAACGCTCCGTCATCTACTCTAAGTGTAATCGACGTTATAAGTATAATTATAATCTGAAAATAAACTCAGTGAATCTTCATCTAATCGGAGTAGTAGAAATTGAACTCATTGTGCGTGCACCGATCCTACGTAACTCTAAACATTTATACTTTTCAGGAAAATTTGAGGAATGGATTCCCTTTAGAAATATGTTTACAAGCATGATCCATGAAAATACGACGCTGCCTAACGTACAAAAAATGCAGTATCTTTTGTCGGCTTTGACGCATGAAGCCAAGGACATTATTAGTTCTCTGGAGGCATCGGACGCGAATTATAGTGAGGCCTGGAAAATGCTTAAGGACAGGTACAATGACGACAGCTTAATAATACAGAAGCACGTCAAAGCATTGTTCGAGCAGCCTATGCTTACAAAGGAGAATTATTTCGAGTTACGGCAGTTGTTAGATAATATGCTCAAACATATACGAGCACTCAAGGCATTGAAGAGGCCGACACATCAGTGGGACGATCTCTTAATCCATCTAGTAACAAGTAGAATGGATCCCATCACGAACAAGGAGTGGGAAACCACCATCAAGAGAGGTGAAATGCCTACCTTCAATCAATTGACGGAGTTTCTAACACAACGATGCCGAGCATTGGAAGCGTCATCTCGAAGTCAGCGGACTGCGTTCAATATGCAGAAGGTGAATAAATCAGACAAAAATAAAGGCACAACGGTGCACGTGGCGACAACAAACATCATGTGTGCTTATTGCGCAAAGGGAGACCATCCTATTTTCAAATGCGCTAGTTACCTGGATCTAGAGGTGGATCAGCGTATAAAGGAAGCGAAGTCTCGTAAGTTGTGTTTAAATTGTCTCAAAGCAGCGTCTCACCAGGCGAAGCAATGCACTTCGGGATCCTGTCGAAAATGCCATAAACGACACAACACGTTGCTCCATTTGGAACAAACAACTACGCAGCTTGAATCGGATTCCAAGAAGACATCTACGCCCCCGGATAAAGAAGGCGTGATATCCACAACGGTGAATCATGCCTCTATCGGACCAGATAGACAGGTAATTCTCGCGACGGCAGTAATCAACGTCGTGGACATAAGAGGCGCTTTGCAGCCGTGCCGAGCACTCTTGGATAGTGGATCGCAGTCTTGCTTCATCACCTCTAAGTGTGTCAAGAAACTAGGTGTCAAGCAATACGTTACAAACATACCAATCTTTGGCGTGGGCGATTTGGCGACTCAGACACGTGGACTCGCAAAAGTGACAATACAATCAAGGATCAACGGCTTCCAGGCCAAGCTTGATTGCCTAATAATTGAGAAAATAACACAAGATATTCCAGTAAATCGTCTTAACATTCGCAACTTGCAGATCCCGGACGGCATTACATTGGCGGACCCTGAATTCGATCGTCCAGCCGACGTGGATATATTACTCGGTGCAGAAATCTTCTTGGACTTACTGTGCATTGGAAAGATCAAGCTTTCAAATTGTCAACCAGCTTGGCAGAAAACGCTGCTCGGTTGGGTGGTTTCTGGCAACTTTATGGTTCACGACCAGCCAAGGAATGCGACAATATGCAATCTATCGGTCAACGAGCAACTCAACTCAAGTCTCGCACGCTTTTGGCAGGTCGAGCGTGCGGAGCGACAAAACACGCGAACTCCTGAGGAGCGCATCTGCGAGGAACATTTCGCACAAACCTACAGGCGCAACTCTGAAGGTAGATTCATCGTAACCATGCCAACTAGACCGGAGCTACTGCAGAAGTTAGGTGATTCAAAGGATATTGCACTGAAGAGATTCGTGACTTTGGAACGTAAGTTGAATCGGGATTCTGAGTTGAAGAGAGAGTATACGGAATTTATACACGAGTACTTGAGCTTACATCACATGAGAGAGCTTCAATCGAGCGCAACATTGACTCACAACCCAAGTGTGCAATATTACTTACCACATCATTGCGTGATAAAGGTGTAACGGAGGCGACAGGGGAGGCGCGGCCGATAGAAAGAGACGGCACTACCAGCTGCGCGAGGAAAATCGATAGCGCGCGGTTGCCGCGTCGACGGCGGCCGGCAACGCCGCGCCTACCCCCGCCGCCTCTCCCCGCGCGCCTGCGTCCGGGGGGTATAAAAGCCCCTCCGGAGAAGGCGCTTTAACTCAGTTTTGCCTCGGAGCTCCGAGCGACAACACCGGGCAGTGGGTACCTCCACTGCAGGTATAAGCCGGAGTGAATGGGTGCTCCTGTCTTCGGCTATATACCATTCCGGAGCACACAACGGAGGCTCTACTCCGTCGTGGGCCCCGTCCCGCAGTAGCGTACGCCTAACGGGGTGCTCCTCGGCGTACACATGCTACAATTTTCCTGTGCCGGTCTCCTGTATCCGTCCTGACTCCGTTTCCCCCGTGACGACGGGTACCGCCGTGTCTTGAGGGGACGGAGTAACCCCGCAGTAGCGTACACCTAACGGGGTGCTCCTCGGTGTACAATCACTACTGAAATTCACGCATACCGAGGCGCTGCTCGGGCGTGTTCCTGACCTGACCTAATTCCTTTCCTGATTCCTGACCGGTGTAAAGTCCAGGGGGGAAATATTTGGGTGGGAAAATATTTCTCGTTAGATTTAATATTAAGCTCCGTAGTATTAATCCCGTTACTTTCCTTCCTTAACAGACCAGGGGAGTCCATATAGACATCCTTCCCGTTTGTTGCCAGCATATTATCCGTATCCAGTATATCCCGGTTGCGTACTCTATTAATATCATTATATATATATCTCGATTCCAGTTGCGTATTTTTTGTACACTTTTATAACTTCGTATAACCCTACTGATATTCCTGTATTTCCGATTCATCCGACCGGTCACATTATTTAGTGGTACTCCGTATTCCGATCCGGCCGCGTACTCCTGTACATTGATAATCAGACTAATCCTTTTTCTTTTGTATTTAATCACAGGGCGGACCCATTGTAATACTAATCCATTCCTTTTCTTTTATATTTTGATCACAGGGCGGACCTATTGTAATTTCCTCGATCTCATGTATCCTATCCATGAATAAACTGCGTTCCTATTGTTTTACCGTAACACACCTGTCCGATTTATTTCCGATCTTTCCAAGCGATTACCCCACTAAGCGAAGTAAGATCTTTACCCCCTTTCCTCCCGACGGCCCTGGAGCTGAGCATATTCGGCAAACAGGAGGAACGGGAGGATTCCTTTTACCGACACACAGCACGTCAAACACCGGAACTAGAACACTAACTCTTCCGCCTGTCAATCAGAACCGCGTGTCTGATATTATTTTCCGCGGAGTAATAACGTATTTCGGAGTCCCGTCCGGAATTCAGTACCGGGAAGAGATAGCTCCGTTACAAAGGAGACGAGCGCGACCACAAGACTTATAGTTATTTTCGATGCGTCTAGTCAAACCACAAGCGGAATTTCGTTGAACGATGCTTTACTGGTTGGTCCGGTCTTGCAGCAAGAATTATTCTGTATACTACTTCGATTTAGAAGCTTCGATCTATGCCCTGACCGCTGACATTGCTAAAATGTACAGGCAGGTGCTGCTAAATGAGGCTCAAATCCCTCTACAACGTATCTTATGGCGGGATCAACCAACAGAAGAAATCAAGACTTACGAATTACACTCACATACGGAACCGCACCAGCTTCATTCCTAGCCACCAAGGTCATACAACAACTAGCGAAGATGGAAGAGGAGCGATTCCCCATAGGAGCAAAGATAGCGTGTCGTGACCTTTATGTCGACGACTTAATAACAGGAGCGAACTCAATGGAAGAAGCGTTAGCGATTCGTGCTCAGATAACGGCATTACTCAAGGGTGGAGGTTTCGCACTCAGAAAGTGGACCTCAAATAGCGAAGAACTATTAAAAGGGTTTCCTGAGTCATCCATCAGCAATACAATACTGGAATTGGACAAGGATGGAACTGCTAAAACTCTAGGCATCAAATGGAATCCGTCAAAAGATGTGCTACAATATACGATTGGTGTGCAAGCACCTCAGACAAGCGCTTGCACCAAAAGATCAATGTTATCTAGTATCGCTCAGATATTTGATCCACTTGGACTCGTGGGACCTGTGATCGTGACCGCCAAAATCATGATTCAGAAGCTCTGGAAACTTCAGATTGACTGGGACGAATCGCTGCCCTCGGAGATTTATACAGAGTGGATAAATTACGTCATGAAGATACAAGAGCTCAACGAATTTAAAGTACAACGCAAGGCATTCGTTTATGGAAAAGACGTACAATTCGAGCTTCACGGATTTTGTGACGCAAGCGAGCGAGCTTATGGAGCTTGTATTTATGTACGAAGCATCGATTCTCACGGAGGTATTCAAATGCATTTACTCTGTTCTAAATCTCGCGTGGCTCCTGTCAGAGTGATCACTATTCCGAAATTGGAGCTATGTGGTGCTGAGTTACTTACAAGATTGATGGACAAGGTCAAACATGCGCTAGAGATCGACATAAAAAAATGTTATTATTGGACGGATTCTTCTATAGTGCTGCATTGGATCAAAGCCACTAACAAGAAACTACCTGTTTTCGTGGCTCACAGAGTTGGCGAAATACAGGATCTAAGCGCGGTCGACAGTTGGAATCACGTAGGAAGTAAGGATAACCCAGCCGATTTAGTGTCAAGAGGAGCACATCCGAGAGAAGTGGCTGACTCTCAGCTTTGGTGGAGAGGTCCTTCTTGGCTGCAGGTGAACATCATCGTTCAGCATCATTCAGAGATCGCGGACATGGAGGAAAGTCAACTGAACGAAAACGATACCTCGACGGTTCTGTCAATGCCTATTCAAGCAGATGTCGATCCATTCAGCAAGTTTTCTGAGTTCAAGAAGCTCGTTCGAGTCGCTGCGAGGTGCATACGATTTGCACGCTTCTGTACAAAGAAAAACGAGGCTAAAGCTTCAGGTCCATTGTCGCCCGAAGAAATAGAATGCGCTAGAAAGTGTATAATCAGGAGAGAGCAACGAACAGCGTTCTGTGAGGAGTTACGAGCGTTAAGAAAGGGCATCGAGATGTCACGTAAAAGTAGCGTGAGAGCAATGAATCCTTTTCTCGATGAGGATGACATTTTACGTGTCGGTGGCAGATTGGAGCATTCGGAACTTCATCAGGACGCTAAGCATCCTATACTTTTACCTCATCACTCAAGATTAGCTAAATTAATTATTCAGTATGAGCATAAGAAGAATCTTCACGCTGGAGTTGAGGCGACACTCGCTGCAGTGCGACTTCGATATTGGCCGATCAGGGCGCGCGGAACGGTCAAAGGACTGCTACGCCAGTGCATCACGTGTTTCAAGGCCCGACCACGAATATCGGAGCAAATAATGGGCAACCTTCCGGCGCATAGAGTTGCGACTGCGAGACCATTCAGTTCTACTGGCGTAGACTTTTGTGGTCCCATATTCATCCGCGAAGGAAGACGCAAGAATAGCAAACATATTAAGGCCTACGTTGCAGTATTAGTATGTATGGCCACGAAAGCTGTTCATTTAGAGGTCGTATCGGACCTGAGCACGGACGCCTTTCTTAACGCCTTTAAACGCTTTATCAGTCGCAGAGGAAAACCAAGTGACGTGTTCTCAGACAACGGCACGAACTTTGTCGGTGCCAATCGGGAGCTGGAAGACCTCAGAAAGCTATTCGCTCAAGAAGATCATCAACACAAGATTATTGACGCAACTTCCAGCGAAGGAATAAGATGGCATTTTATCCCTCCCCGAGCGCCACATTTCGGTGGCTTGTGGGAGGCTACAGTTAAATCTTTCAAGGGTCATTTCTACAAAGTAGCTTCAGAAGCCGCACTAACCTTCGAGGAAGCCTCCACACTCGTCACACAAATAGAAGCGATTCTCAATTCGAGACCATTGAACGCTCTCTCATCGGATCCTAATGACTTGAATTATCTGTCCCCAGGTCACTTTCTTGTAGGCAGCTCACTGGTCTCTTACCCTGAGCCAAACTCAGGTTAAAATAAATCGTCTGTCGAGATGGCAGCGGCTGGAGCAGATACGCCAGCATTTCTGGAAACGCTGGTCGCTCGAGTATCTGTCACAATTGCAACGACGTGCCAAACGGCATACTACTCGCGGCGAACAGCTCAAGGTTGGTCAACTGGTGCTATGTAGAGAGGATGGACTGCCGCCGTTGAGATGGATGCTGGGTAGAGTACAGGAAGTCTGTCCCGGCGACGATAACATCATCAGAACAGCTATTGTAAAAACTGCTAGAGGAGTCTTTAAAAGGCCCGCCGTAAAATTAAGCGTACTTCCCATTGAGTCTTCTACGAATCTTAAAGAAGATTAACTATTTCAGATATTTTCATAAGACTGATATACATTATAATTTCTTTTGTTACTTGATTAGAAATCACATTGTTATATGTAAAATGCGATGTTGATGCCCATATAAGGCATCAAGGCGCGCGTATGTTCGTGCAATATATTGGTTGAGTTTGTTTGCATATATGTCTATTGTTTCGCAATTATTTTCAGTTTATTGAGTTCACGTATTTAGTTAGATGTTATGCGTCTTGTATCTTATGTATAACGTCTTTTTTAAGTTTAAGTTACATTTGTGAGCGCTAGATAGATGGCGCAGAGAGAAGAAAGTAGTAGAAGTCTTTCGTCAGCGCACGAACGAACGTCGTTGTAAACCACGTATTCCCCTGCCGAAAATGGTCGATTAAAACCGATTAAGACAAAAAGTAATTCAAATTGATCGGGATTTCTGCACCG